ACTCTCACACCACCCCCCAGCCACCCCTCTGGGTGAGAGACCAGCTGTGCCCGGAGCAGCAGGGTCTGCCCCACGGGTGGCCGGCCCCGGCAGATCCCAGCTCCCCCCCCGGTGGCCTGACACTCACTTGGAGATGACCGGGTCGTAGAGCAGCGCGTACCACCTCTCCTGGATCTCCCGCAGGGTGAAGCGGCAGCTGAACTTCACGCCCAGGTGGACCGAGGTCAGGTCGTTGGTCTGCAGGGGCCCAAGGAGAGGCCAGACTCAGGGCTGTGTCCCCCCACCCACTGGGAGGGCCGTCGTCACTGAAACAGCCCTCACGGGCAACGCTTCCCAGCCTCACGCACTGGAGCGAGGACTGACCTGAGGGCTCTGGGAAGCAGCCAGGGACTCCGGGACTAGCCCCCCCCAGGTCTCGGTACAAGGTGCTGGGCAGGTGGCCAGACCTTGACAGAACAGTCCCCCCAGCACCACGGGCCCCACACCAGGAGCTCTGCTGACCTCCCACTCCCTGCTGGGACCTTTCCCACGCACGCCAGCCTGGCCTGGCCCTGCTTAGCAGGATGGCAGCATTACCTGCAGCACGGCATTGATGAGCAGCAGGTCATCCGCAGGCTTCCAGCGGCCCAAGTCCTTCGTCACCTGCAGGGGCTGTTTGCTTTTCTTCATCCGCTTGGGGAGGCTGGGGTTCGGGACCGGGCTCGGGGTGACGGGTGCAGAGACGGATTTGGAGACCTGCACGAGCCGGGAATGGAGCTCAGAGCGCCCTTGTGTCTGGCCAGGGGGGCCCACTGCTGGAGGCCATGATGGGCGGACGGGGGCTGCACATCACACCCCCCCACCCAACCTAGGCAGCCCTCGTCCGGGGGGCAGCACGTGGCCCCGGCTCCTCAGCAGGACGTGCCCAGGGAACACGGGTGTCTGAGCGCCAACGACACTTCGCGCTTACCCGTCCAAAGCCCAGCCAGCGGGGCCGGAGCCAGGAAGCGAACTGGCTGGGTCTGGCTCCACCGTCCACCAGCAGAGGAACCAGGCCCCACAGGGGAGAACGGGAGCTACCGGAGGCTCTGCCCGGCGAGTCACGGCACGGCAGGAAAGGCTGCTGACTGCCATGGTGAGGGTGTCCCTTTGGCATGGTCGCTGAGGGGCTCTGTGGCTCCCAAGTTCTGTCCCAGGCTGGCTGCAGGAGCCTCCCGCCCTCTGCCCTTTCTAGTCCTGCCAGGGGGAGGTGTCTCTGCTGAGCCAGGCCTGTGCCCCCAGGGAGCTGCAGGATCTACTGGCCGACGGCTCTCTCTGTTCCCCTCCCTCTCAGGGATAAAGCCACCCAAGCTCTCCATGCTCAGGCTTCAGGGCTGATCTCCAGCTGGAGGTCAGGAAGAACCCCCCTCCCCACAGCATAGTGTCTCTTCCCCGACATACCCAGCCTTAGGCGCTGTCAGAGAAGAGGGACTAGGGCCCTGCTCCGGATCGGACAGGGCACCAGGCCCCGCAGGGCGCTGCCCACCCTCTTTCCCCCCTCACCTTCTTCTTCTCGCTGGAGGAGGGCTCGCTGCCCGAGCAGCGGCCTGGCTCCACCCCACTGGGCCCCTTGGCCCGGCTGGACGACTTGGCGAGGCTGCTTTCTACCAGCTCATCATCAAACTTCTTCCTCTTGATGAACCTAGTGGGACAAACGCAGGCCCCAGGTGAGGCCCCTCCACCCATGTGCCGGCCCCGCTGCACACCTGGCTACCTGGAGCCAGCTCTCCACCCCCCAAACAGCTGCAAGATGGGTGTGGGGCGCCCTCTGGTGGCTCCGAGTTCAACCATCACTGCAGCCAAGGGAGTTTCCCTGGTAGCGGCCGGTGAGCCGGGCTCCAGGCCCGATGCCGCTTTACAGGAATGGTGTTGAGTTAGCAGCACCTGGTTCATCACAGGACATCAGGAAGCCCCACGTCCCACCTTCCCATCCCCCTCTCTGGGACTGCACTGGACTAATCCATCCTTACCGCCAGAGGGGGTCCCTGCACGACGCAGGGAACCCCACCCCCTCCTCATTGCCCTGGGCCCTTCCTGGGTACCTGGAGGAGCTCCGCCGCTTGGGGATGGTGCCCGAGACCTGCGATGAGCTCCTTTTCTGTCCCGCCAGCGACTCCTCGTCTTCAGAGCGGCTCGCCGTGCCTGACGCCATCAGTCCGGAGTCCAGCACGTCTGCACGGGGACAGAGGAGACAGAGCCTCACTCCTTCACATCAAAGGGCTCAGACGCCAGGCGGCCACAGAGAACCTGCGCTCCCTTGTGCCAGCCTTCCCAATGCCAGGGAGCAGGTGGCTGTGGGCAAACCTTACATGTTATATGGCAGAAAGCCCTAGAGACTAGAGATCCCAGAAGGCAAACCTCCCCACAACTCCAGAGAGGGAGACCCCCCACAACAGGACTGCAGCGCATGGATCTGATATAGAGATCATGTGACATTCCACTCAAATGCAGCCAACTCTGCGGAGGAACGTGGTGCTGGAGAACAGCTCACAGCAACACTGCACAGAGGTTTATTATCTGCACTGTGGTAGCACCCAAAGATTTCAATTAGGGTCCCGCCGGACTGGGCCCCGGACACACAGACCCTGCCCGGAAGGTCTCGCGATCCAGGACAGGAAGCGACAGAGACGCCCAGACCCCAGTGGATGCAGGAGACGCTGTCGGCAAAGCAGAAGGTAACTCAGACTGGAGCTGGGCCAGGACGCCAGGGGAACCTGGGTTTACGGCTCCTCTGAAGGACAACGCAGCACCTCCAGCAGGATGGGCGCCCATCCACCCCCAGAGCACCGTGAGGAGACCCCCCCGCCCGGCCCTGAGGGGTGGAAATGCCAAGGCAGGACGGGGCTCCCCGGGATGGGCTCAGGCGGGCGCGTGGGCATGTGAACAGGCAGGACCAGCCAAGGGGCTGCTTCCCCCTGCGCCCTGCTCGCTCGCTGCACCCGGACGCCGAGCAGGGGCGAGCGGATTTCACCAGCCGCCCCCACGCAGCCCGCAGGGCGCCGAGACCCCCAGCAAGGGGCCGGCTCTGTAGCTCCAGGCTGGGTTGCTATGGAGACCCCCCCAAGGGATAGACCCCTCGCCCCAGTCCCAGCCGCTGCCCCGGGGAGCCACAGGTAGGGAAACTGAGGCACGATGAGACGAGTCGCTCGCCCCCCTCCCCCGATCGCGCATGGAGTCGGCGGCACAGCTGGGGTGGAACCCAGGCGTCCTGGCTGGGCCTGGGGGGAGGGGTTCTCCCTTGGGGGGGTCTCCATAGCAACCCCATCCTCTCCCTGACAGTGATCAGGCGCATGCGCGCTGAGTCTGGCGCCCCACTCCAGGCCGCGCATGCGCATTCACCCCCGCCGGCCAGGCGCCCTCTCACCCGGACGCGGCGGCCCCGCGGCCTCACCATTCCCCGGTGCGGCGGCTCCGTCTGCTCCGCGGTGGCGTCCGACGAGCAGGAGCCCCCATCCACAGAGGCGGCTCACTTCCGGAAGAGTCCGGTAACTTCCGGGGGCGGCTAAGCGGAAGAGAGCGATTGCTTCCGGTTCAAACTGCGTGACCCTGCCTGTGGGCGCCGCCATTGCGCTCTGGCGGCTGAATGGGCGGCGCCATCTTGGGGAAGGGTGTCACCATGGCCTGTCCTGCACCACTGCTTGGCTACCCCCCCCCCCCCGCCACTCCTGGCACCAGCTCAGCGGACAGGCGGCAACACGGGGCGCCCTGTTGCCATGGCAGCGCACACCCCACCCACATGGCAACAACCAGGACTGTGGCCTGGCCACAGGCGAGGCGATGAAGCTCGTCGCCATAGCGATGGGGCACCCAAT